TTTTTGGAGGATAGCCAGCTAGCTAGGCTGGAAGGATGACTAGATTGTTCGATGGGAAGAAATGGCAGACGGGGGATTTGCCTGGTTCCACGCCCAGCAAACGAAATGAAGCATGTGTAGGACTCCAATGAGACGTGTCCATATGGCAAACTCCTACAGCATCCACCGAATCTCCATTCTCACCACCCAACCACACCTTCAAAACCTTACTTCCTCCCTCCAAACCATGGCAATACAACACTGGATAAGCGTATGGCATCTGGTGACAAGCAATCATTTTCCTGGGCCACATCTCTTCTTTAATCCCCATCACTGTGTAGTTTTGTACAATTAGATTGCTACTTGGTGACCTTTTCAGGTACCTCGTGGTTAAAATGTGGAAATCTGATTGCGGGCGGAACAGGGCATGTATGAAGTCAAGCAGGGATTCTAAAGAGGTGGCGCATGTCTTGGTCTCTCCTTGGATGGGTTCACACTCACAGTGAGCTAGTGTGTTTTTCATGGCTCGGGCTTGGGGAGAACCTGGACTGATTGACAACATTTGGAGAACGTATGGGAGTTTATCTGAAGAGAAAGGAATTGAATCTGCTTGCTGTTTGGACAGGAAGTGATGATGATGATGATGATGATGAGATGATATTGGGTCAGGGAAGTAGATGGGGATCATTTCCCCTACTTTTACATCGTTTTTGTGGAAGAACACCATCTCTCCTAATCGCTTCGTCATGTGGGATGCTGCATCAGCATCGTCATGCATTTTGTGCTCATGATCTTCATTTTGCTTTCTGTAAATCCATAGGTGATCATCTCCCCCCACATCTTTCTGCACTTGTACTTCACCATCTTCATCACGGATGTGATGGTTCTGCTTCCTATAAATCCAAAAATGATCGTCATCATCATCATCCATTGCATCCTCGCTTCTTCTGACATCAGCATCATCGTGCCTCTCGTGAATATCCCAGCTAGGTAGTCGTAAAACATTATCCACGCTCTCACCATGCTGCATCTCCCTGGCTAACCCACTACACTGCACAATTTTCAGTACCATAAGCTTCCAATTCTAGAAAGCTATGTGCATATATATATTTATATTTACCAGTAACAAGTAATTTACTAAAAGCAAATAGTTAGAAGAACGCACCACGAGTGAAAGCTTAGAAAATCATGATTTTTTCACCATATGTATATATATTCCTGCTACGTTCGATGAAAAGATTCCAGTATAACAGGCTTAAACTAAGCTACAACTGGGTCTTGGTTAGAACAAAAGTCAATCATAGCTAGGTAACTCTCTCTGTATATGTAACATATATAACCCTATATGTATAAACACACAGAAACACACAGTTGTAGATCACTACCATAAGCAGAAGAAGATGAAGAAAAAGGGTAGAGGAAGCAAATTCCATTAGGATATTTGTTCGTTGAACCAGGTCTGTCTTCTCCTCCAAGAGGCCACACTAAAAAGATGTTTGAGTGGAGTTAAATTATATCCTATCGTGAGCAGGTAGATGATGTCCCATAAGTTGCAGTAGGTATGAACTGGATGATTTAGTTTAGACATTAATACTAAATTAAATAATCACAAAAATACAAACATCATATTGCATCTGATAAGAAATTTATGATTAATATTAAGGAGTATTATTTTTATTTATTGTCATCCTCATCACTTAAACATTATGTTTATAATAAAATAAATATGTAACATAATATACAGAGAAATTTTATAATGTTATACGTATAAATTTATATATTTTTAAAAAAATTATGAATAACATGTGAAAAGAATGTATAAAATTTAACTATAACTCACATGAATTATATTATTATCCAAAATAATTCAGGTGATTCGGTGGTGACGGAAGCAAATCTCTTGTTAAAAATAATAAAAAAAATTTAAAATTTATCGTGAGACTGACATATATATTATGATATTTAAGGTATCTATTTGTATTTTTTAAATTAATTAGTAGGAGATTATTCATAAAAGTATTAAGCATAAAAGATAATTATTTTTGTCACATTGCGAAAGATATGTATTACAATTTTACAATATTATATTATTGAATTATTGCAGTATGGACATCACGTGTTAATGATTTTTTATTTATTAATTTACCAATAATATAAAAATTTATATATGTAATGATTTTTTATTATTTACATATTTAATTTTATCTCTCTTTTCCTACTTCTCTGGGTATGCATTTCTGTGAAAAATATTTCATTATAAATATTTATATATATTTCACTATATTACTTACCATGTTATTCTTTGTTCTCATTACTAATTATTTTGTTTTTTATCTTGTAAATCATGGCAGTCTTCTACTTTAATGGCAAGAAAAGATAAAAATGAATATTAGAAAGAAGAAATGAAAGATGATTGTGACACATCAAAAAAATTGAACAAAGAGGAGAAATTCTTCGTCAAGAATTTCGAACCGAGATAAGATATTTCAATATACCATGACGACCGTCATGTTGGCATTAAAGGAGGGAAGTCATTTTATAAATTTAAACCTCAATCAGATGTTTCAATCCATTATGATGACACTATTATTTCTAACAACGATGATGATCTTAAAAAA